AAAGCCCATGCTATATCGCTATTTTTTCAGTGAGAGTCGTACCCTCATTCTCAGCGTTCCATCGCGGAAGTTTTGGGATTCGTGAACAGTATGGCGTCGAAGAACGACGATGATATGCCCGTTATGACTCGTCGAGCAGCAGTTCCACCAGATGATACGTCTTTCTGGCCAGAAATCGAAACTGAAGAGCGTGGCATCTCTACACCGTGGACGCAAGCCATAAAGGATGTTATCAAATTTCTCGATGTTGAAGAGCCGTACAGCGCAGAAGCAGACGAAGATGGCATCCAGTTGGCCGAATTTCTTATCCAAAATGCCGATATTTCGGTTGCAATTAACAGCAAAAAAAGCGAGCTGATAGCCAAGAGTGGGTTCGATGAAGTGCAAGTAACTTACTTCAAGAACTGGGCGGGAACACTACGGGGGTTGGTTCTGTACGCGCGCCCAACCTACATACGCGACGTGAAAAAACTGGTGAAGGCTTGCGGAGAATTGAGAATCAAGGTTAGTTTACTTACACAACTGCTGATAACGTGCTAGGGACACGCGCCTCGCGCATACCGTTCAACTGCACTGCAGTTTGCACTATGATTTACGGGAGGGGCCACATTTTTACTCAGCTCCTGTGATTGATCCGCACACTACGCGCGCGCCCACCGACTATTATTGACTGTAACTGGGAGGCCACTGCACTAACCATTGGTTCATATTGCAAATACACAGGTTGGTTGTGGGGGATCGTACCATACCTGGGCTCCTCTCTACCCTGATCCAAGCACCAAAACCCAGTTCAGCTTGCTGATCAGCAACTGTGAGCTCCAGTTGGAGTTCAAACTTTTTGATGTTGATCGACTTTTAACTCCTCGCATTGATTATGATAAAGGTATGACTTTACCTGTCATATCAACATGCTGGGTCAATTAAAGTTTAATGAGAAATGTGACTATAATGGCCATTTGAACTTGAGTGGAAGAATTCAAAGTGAACAACATAAGTGATTCTCCCCTAAACGCACATATTAATACAAATCACTTTCATACCTATGCACAGACAAGAATGAGGTGATAATCTCCCCTGGAGTGACAACTGGAGAGCAACTGAAGCTGTTCATGGACAAAAAAGTCTGCTGATGTGATTGCGCAGAACTTCACCTATGGAGGTGTGCTGGCAACTGGCTCACATGTGAGACATAGCCACAATAGCTTTGTAGCTAAGTAGGAAGCTAAAACTGTTTATGCAAGTTTCATTAGTGTAGTATATAGTTAAGCCATGGGTACAAAGCCGTCTGTATATTATAGCTCACAATAATGATAGTTAGTGAAAAATATCGTGCTCTTCATCTGGAATAAGTAGCTATAAGCACTTGGCGTGTATGAATATTATCGTCACTCTGGGAGGGAGATGTGTAAATTGCATGCTTTGGCTTATTAGGAGCCCTACACAGTGACATTCCTTTGCATTACTATTCACTCTGTGATAATCATCTGAAAGCCTTGTGAAATTTGGAAATTAGGTCCCTAAAAGCCCACCAGATGCTTATGATTTGCTCTTCATCTGGAACTAGTAGCTATAAGCACTCTGGGACAGAGATGTGTAAATTGCATGCTTTGGCTTATTAGGAGCCCTACACAGTGACATTCCTTTGCATTACTATTCACTCTGTGATAATCATCTGAAAGCCTTGTGAACTTGGAACATTATGAGTTTATTACTACTTAACTTTTCGGGAGGTCTTGTGAAGCAATAATAGCTCATTAGTGTATTGCATATTTACAAAATAACGTTGATCACGCACACATGCTCAATTGAACACCTGAACCACTCTAAAATCAGCCCTCGAAAATTATTACTTGTACGCTGCTGCTCCAACTTTATAATTGCACATGCACTTTGTTAATGTCTGGAAGCCTAGCACTATACCTTCCCTTACCAAGTGGTGTGTTCAGATTAGCTACACCTGCATATCTTGCGTGACAATCCAGTTTGAATTTTCACTGAATTCCAGCTGGTTTTCTCCTCCAAAGTATCCAGGTGGCTATACGGTGTGTGTGCGTGCGTGTGTGCGTGTGTGTGTGTGTGTGTGTGTGTGTGTGTGTGATGTGTGGCACTATCTCTGCAGTATTTGGCATTTCAAACAATAGCTGCTAGCCTAAGCAGTTAGAGAGATGCACATTTCCACCCAATTGCCAGCCCTGGAAAAGTTTCCCAGTGTAACTTGGTGTTCCCTCATTTTAATTACTAGTTCAGTTTGTGGTGTGGTGGTTGTACTTTTGGAACCTCCTGGAATGTTCTAATTACCCACTAAAAGGTCAATTAACTACATAACTTTGTGGAAGATTCCTAGAAGCCTGTCAAGTACCTGACACCATTAGGAACTATATACACAAGTACATCTGTTTAAGCATTACTCAAAGCGGTGGCTACAATGGTTGTGCATAGCAAAGATGCCACCTACGCATATGTGCTATAAATCCATATTGCAAACAATTGTGTAACCCTTGCCTGCACAGCGAGGGTTATTGCAGTCGGTCTGTGTGTGTGTGCGTGTGCAGGCACATAGCTAGTAGTGGCAGTCTCTCACAATGCACACATATAATTGCACAAACATCAATATAAGCTATTGATGTTTAGCCATTACTTTATGCTCCATGGAATATTATAAGACAGGTAACTATTACTACTTCAGGGTACTGGAAGGGACCAACCGATTATGTCCGACTATATTACGCGAATGAAACTAGTTGGGCCAGATGGTGAAACCCGTACCTTCCCCGACGATTTCAAAGGAGTTAAACTCCCAAAGGGGGTCACAGTTGACGATGCAATGAATGCACTGCGAGTCCATTTGGGTGTGTTCGGAGTGGTCGTGGAGATAACGCTGAAAGTTGAGCCAATGGTTTCATCCGAAGTCCGCAATTACTACCCCCAAGTCGGACAGCTCTTCTACGGCCCAAATCCTGAAATCAAGAAGATTGTGAAGGAAAATTGGTCGGTTCAGGTCCTGTGGTTTCCCTTCAACAGCCTCGGTTTGGTGGCGGGACTTATTCAGGGGCTACCTTTGACCAATATCTGGCAGCCTAGGACGGACGAAGTGTGGATGCACACCGTCAATATTGTTGACACCTACGCGGAGTCCAACAGGTGTGTGAAAAATGCACTACCAAAAATTTGTAAGGATGTTTTGTACAGCCAGCATAGCTCCAAAGATCATCATCAGAGCAACATGCCTGTTAAAAAGTAATGCGCTTCAATGTGGCCATTTGCCCTTACAAGTCTGCAGTCAGTTTACATAGTCCAGGAAGAGGAAGAGAGTATAAATCAAGGGCTACAAAAGCCTAAGGCCACAGACCATTAGTATCTTGGGCTGATGTGGGCTTGCCCAGGAAGAGGAAGATTTTACAAGCTATTAGTAGAGGTGAGCCTAGGGCTGTGGTTAAGCAAAGTGGTTAGGCATGGTAGCACTAGAATAAATTCTTATACTTCAACATGTTATAGATAAAAATTGGCATTGTGTTACAACTCCACCCATGTGGCAAAAATAGCGGACCGGTATTTTGCAGACAAAAGTTTAGGCTCCCCTACAGTACTTCTTTGTCTGCAAATTGTGAAAATTTAGGTATGATGTAATTGTGAGTTAAGTATAGTCACAATATCGAATTAGGTGGGACAAACTCCAGCAGAAAGTTCAAGACACGGTTCAGGGTGTGTTTGCTGGGGAACTGGGCTCTCCACTGATAGGCAGGTACCCTTTCCTGGTACCAGCCTACCTGGCTGCGGGGTTCCAGGTCATCAAGCATGCCAACCCTGAAGGCAAACCACAATTGGAACAGCTGCCGTACGCCATCCATTTCCGCTACGGTCTCAAGTACGCCACCGTGTACGACATGGAGTTTGCTTTCCCCGTCGACTTCGACAGAGAGGATGGGTTTGGTGTTGTCCTGAAGGCAGTTGATGTTGTGATTAAGGCAATTGCAGAAGCTGCTAAACCAGGTGAGGGACACATGTAGCTTACTAATGATTCACTGGTAGCGTTTTGAGACTATATTCTTCCCCATGTAGCTAAAACTCTACACTTTACCCAGTTCGTATACTTAAAGTGTTACCGAACTACTGCCATAGCAACAGCCTGGATTATTCAAACCGAACTGGTATAATACGTATCAAGTGGCCTAACACTTAGAGCCATGACAAAAACAATCAGTCCATGTTAAAATTTACTGGTTAGAAAAGGCCGTTAGCTTATATAATTGGCGAGCGCAACCTAGTCGTCGCAACGGGCCGATTTATCTATTTATTTATATACGACCGACCGTCTATGCAGGGTTTCTGACAACAAAGGATTTCCCACTGAGCTCTGCAATTGATATGAGGTTTATAAAGAAGAGCAAGTGCTTGCTGTGCCCGGCCACTGCTACGGTTGGAGACACATCTACACACACAGCGTACATCGAGATACTCAGCTTTGTGGGGACTGAGAGCTACAAAGATTTCTTCAAGGTGATAGATTTACACATTTGTACACATCCATTCCCATCCCTTTTATCAGCATATTATTGGTGCATTATGGCATTTTGAAACTTATGCCGTCCATAATAATTATACTACACTTATAGCGGGCATTTGTGCTTCTATATATAGATATGCACTCGTTTTGTTGTGCAAATTGCTTCAAGGTGAGTATTCTCAAGCAAGGATGCATGAGTTCTGTGATTGTAACTCTCCATTATTATATAATTTTACCAACTATTTTAAACATCAGGAAATAGCTAAAGAGTGGATGGCGCTTGGTGGTGTTCCACACTGGGCCAAGCAATGGAACTTCCTGAAGGACGAAGGAATCTACAAGCACCTGAGGGAGTAAGTTATTTCGTATTATAACAAAAAAGATTCTGTGGCCCGAAAACTTTCCTTGATTGTTTGCTTTAGCGAACTAATGAAATGACCCTTCCCACAATAGAGAACTTCAGCAAAATTCAAATGGCCATTCTTCCACTAGTCTGTTTGTTCATTATAAAGCACAAACTATTTCTTTGTATACAGCCACTATGGTCCTAATATGAAGAAATTCACTGCCGTTCTGGATGCCCTCAATGGCCAGAAGAAAGATATATTTCTCAACAAGACCATGACAACACTACTGTATGATTGAAACTGCCTTCGAAATGTTCTTACTAAGTTTGTAATGAAATATTGTGTAGAAGGGTAGGTAGTCAACTAACTGTGCAATTATATAAATTTTGCTGAAATTAGGCATGTGCATCTTCCGAATGTGCATGGTGTGCAAGAAAACTTATTGTTGCGAATTTGCTGTCTACACACTTGTGTCAGGACTTTAATAAAGTGCTATAGCTAGCTAGTCCAATTAAAGGCACAAACCACGTTTATTCACACAAAGCTGTCACCTCTCCTGGTGCTCATAAACTAGTCTACAGTAGACCTAACCAACCCATCAGTGTCACCACAGCATGAGATGTGTGAAGATGAATGAAATAACACCAGTCACATCACTAAAGCAAGAAAGTAGCTAGCCTGGCTCTAATTATGCACTGCCATTGCACTTTTAGCAAACTGAGCCAATGACAGCAGAACACGGAAATGTACTTTTAACCCAAGCATGGAACAATACCAAAGGAATCATTTATACACACATTTCAACATGATCAGCATGCGTTTTCTGACACGCACTTATTGTGTGGCTAGCGAGCGGCGGACCACGGGTATAATATCATGTGCGCACGCGCGCTTCGGCCCGCGCGACGTCGACGAGGTAGAAAATCTGCTGCTATTATAGGAATTCTGCGTCGATTTTTCGGGAGGCCTCGTGGAACCACGCCTTCTCAGTCCGGGCGGCGGGTTCAGGCAAGGACTGACAAAGGCCAAAAACCGCGGCCGCTGATCGATCCATGACGAGGACGCGACGAATCCGCGGTCCGCGGTCGCGACCGCGGACCGCTTCCGCGCGCGCGTAATTACCCGCTCCCTCCGGACTTTGAACTCGCGGTGCTTGAAGAGAGACGGTCATGGCGGTCCGTGAGAGGAAGTTTTTCGTGGGGGGCAACTGGAAGATGAACGGGAGCAAGGCATCCATCGACGGCATAGTGGAGTTTCTTCTGCAGGGACCTCTTTCTGCCGACTCCGGTACGCACGCAACACGCTAGCTGTGTCGTGTGGTGTACTGCCACATTTGAACTGACCACAATTGTAAGGCAAAGACCATGTTTTCAAAAGTAGCAGATGGGCAGATGTATGCTGCAGCTGGTTGGTGTGTAGCCACAGGTGTGCCTTACCCACAGTGTTTTAAACTTCTTAAGGCTTACACTTATATTAGGAAGAGCAAGAGTTGAACTCAGGCATAGTGACTGAAAGTCCAGTGCTCTAAGATCGAAACCTTGTTGCACTTTCTATTTTATCTCTATATCCTAATCTCTCAGTGAACCAGGACACCCCTGAAATGAAGATACTTTTTTTCCAAGAATAGTTGCATGCTATTCAGCCCATGGAGGAAGGATACCTCACTAATACTTTAATACCGCTCTCTCCAGAGGTGGTGGTGGCTCCTCCAGCCATCTACCTGAGCTATGTTAGAGACAAACTTCCTGCCACTGTCGGTGTGGCCGCTCAGAACTGCTACAAGGTTGAGAAAGGTGCTTTCACTGGAGAAATATCGTAAGTAGGCTAGCCCGTACCTGGTACTGTTCACCCTATGACATGATACCCAAAACTGTAGTCCACTTCCTTAAATTATAGGCTAAGCAGTTGCACGAAATCAGGAGTGTTACAGTGTACATGTATTGCACGTTTTCCTGTTTTGAAGGGTATCTTGTTTCATTCGTCATCTATTGGTACTACATTCCCTCAGTCCTCAGATGATCTTGGATGTGGGTGTACAGTGGGTCATTCTTGGCCACTCTGAAAGGAGAAATGTCTTTGGAGAGAGCAGCGAGGTTAGGTACAATGATCACTCCCTTTGTCATGCACCAACGTAGTTGAGATCCTCTCCGTTAATTATAGCAGTATATACTTCTTGACATACTTTTTGCCGAAGGAGCAATAATGGGACCAAGGTTAGATCGCATTACCTAACTAGAACGAACACAACAAAAACAAATGCAAACGCCATCGGTCCATTATCGCATGGACAGTGCCACCTGCCTACAACTAGGTAGGCTCACTGAGCTCCGCCTTGGCTACTTTTTGCTCCACCCCACACCAAATGCAGGAGCAATAGGGCCAGGGTCGGGTATACTCGAATGCAACGAAAACATATGAAAACCATGCGTATATGTGAAGCATTATCATATGGACAGTGCCATCTGCCTACAAATTTCAAATTTGCGTAATTCAGACGACTAGGGAGGCTCACTTGGGTTGCCAACTATACCCACTCCTCTTCATTGGGCCAACTCTTGCCCTTCCTTTCCCTATCAGCTGGTGGGGGAGAAGGTTGGTTTCGCTCTCACCAGTGGCCTTCAGGTGATAGCCTGCATCGGGGAACAGTTGGAGGAGAGGGAGGCTGGAAACACCAACTCTGTTGTAGCTGCTCAACTCAAAGCTATAGCAGGTTTGCGATGTAATATTAATGTACATGGGCTCAAAGTTTGACAAATAAGATTTTTCCATGCTCTGCGGTATAATTATACATAATTCTTTATAATTCCCCTCTCAGTTTTGCTTCTCACTGCAATTTTCCTTTTGTATTGTCTCCTCCTTTCTCCCCCCTCTATTCCTTAATAAAGTGAATTAATCCCTGAATAAGGGAAAACTTGGATTAAAAGTGTATTCGAAGGTGTCCACCAGAACCTAGTGTCCTTATATAGAGGTGTCCTTCATTGGTAACTTCCTGTAAATCACTACCCTAGATCACGTCCAGGACTGGAGTAAGGTGGTGATAGCCTACGAGCCAGTATGGGCCATTGGTACCGGTCGAGTAGCTACGCCTCAACAGGCACAAGAGGTCCACTCTTACCTCCGCAAGTGGCTCTCGGACAATGTCAGCAACACTGTTGGAGCTCAGACAAGGATCATATACGGAGGTATACATACTTTGTAGAGGCATTGCTTTAGTTTCTGTTTCAGTACTCCACTACTAAATAGTTGTGTGTTTAATACCAGTCGTGTACACGTTCAATGCTTGCGAGCACAATAACAGTGTATATACAGTGTAAAAGAAGGTGCTCTATCCCAGTTGAATCTGAATGCAGGTTACTTCGTGTTTCTGAAAAATTAATGCAGTCTGAAATATAATTAATGAGTTATGTTGCCTTATGTACCAGGTTCAGTGAAGGGTGAAAACTGTCGCGAACTTGCTGACGAACCAGACATTGATGGCTTCCTGGTGGGTGGAGCCTCGCTGAAGACTGGCTTTATCAACATTGTTAATGCAAAGGAATGACCCTCCGACTTAGTAGTGAACTTATTCCTCCCGTCTTAGCAATCCATATACGTTTTAGGTGTTTATGCCCTAGATATATACCTACATACGTACATCCTACCAGACCTGAAGGGTTTTTCAGTATATAGGTTTAAAACATTCATGCATATGCGCCTTTTTTACTGCGCAAATCTCCGTCAGATACAGTAAAAATTAAAAATTATCCACATTCAGACGACTAGGTGGGCTCACTTTGCTCACCAACAATGTACACAGAGCATTATGTCATTATGCATACAGGGAATCTTGGTTTGGGTGTGAGTGCTAAGTGTGTAGCAGGTTATCGTCAATCTCTTTTGCCAAGACCGAGAGCCCTATTTCCTGTAAGACAGTGACAAGTGTGGCCCAGGACTGTGGCCGCCTCCCAGTTCCCTCCAGCCATCTCTGGAGAATGGCTCCTGATATTCTAGTCTGGTCTAGTCTGTACTGGGTCTCAATGTTGCTAGTTATTGCTCCAGTGTTGTCCTTTAGCAGGCGTATGCCTAGACTGTGACTTCTCACTGCAATTCTCTCGAGAACGTTGACGTTTCCTGATTGTGTGGGGAAGTACTGAAGTAGTGGTAGAGTTGGTCTATCTAGGAGGGAGGGACTTGACTGAGATGATTGGTGTGAATAGTCTCTGAATTCCCTGCCATGGGCAGAAATGTTAAAGCCCTCCATACACCCTATCAAGTCCCCAAGTTGAGTTGAAGATTGGCCCTGGGTAGCTTGCTGCACGATTGACTGGTTCTGGAAGCTCTGGGTGAGTTGAATTGAGGGCTGCTGATTAAGCAGGGTGTGCGAGGGGGGTTGATGGTGCTGGTATTGAGATTGTCCTTGGGGTAGTTGCACAGGATGCATGAGCTGGGATTGGTTTAGGGGTTGGTGTTGGTAGAGTGTATAGTTTTGGGACAGGTGGTATTGAGGGTTGTCCTGGAATTGAGGATGTTGAGGGTGCCCCTGGAATTGAGGCTGAAAATGATGGCTGGGACCTTGCTGGGCCATCTGCAGTGGAGCAGGTGGATTGCTTACTGATGGAGGGACTGCAGGTTGGGATAAATTCTTTTGCGTGGCATCAATCCCCATCCACAACAACTGCTTTTCATTTGGTTTGGATGTCGTTTTGAAGAGTTCACAGCAAAGAAAATGCTTGCCTTTGCGGTTTACAAAGTCTGCTAGATGCTTCTCAGAAGCCTCGAGGCAGGTGCAAAACATGGCAGGGGAAGTGGTGATCTGGTCTCGCTCAATGTGCATTATGTGGAACACCTTCTCAATTGCACCAAGTACTTTGCTGCAGATCTGACTGCAAATATTGGAGGGGGACTCGTGAATGCTCAAGTTTGAATCAATGTGGACTTCAAGACGCTTGATAAAGTCTACTAGAACAATGTTCACAAGAAGGTCTGGGTCATGGAAACACGCAATGTTGTGAGCAAGACATTTGTCTCTCCTGATTACTTGCCAGTCGTATTTTGAGAGAAGGCAGGAGACTGTGCTGCCGAAACAGCCCATGGGAACACAGCCGCTGCTGAATTTCACGACTAGCGGAACTGTGTTGGATGATTTGGGGATGTAGCTATGGAGTTCCTGGTCGGGAATGGCAGGCTTCAAACACATCATGAGATATTCCCTTTTCCTGTCATCAACCGAGTCTGTTCCTTCCTCTGTTGCGTCAGGCTGGAGTGGAGCTATGATGAAAGTGTGACAGAAGAGCTTGATGGCATCTTGCACCTCGTAGAAACCCTTTTTGAAATGCGGCGAAATTATCTTGTCGTTGCTGAGCAATTCTTCTGTAATGACCGCCTTTTTGAGCATAGACACAAATTTTGCTGGAACGCCCTGCAATGGTAGGTAGCTGGAGCGAACGATGCCATTGACAATGTCAAGAGGCACTTGGGGATTGACAAAGACGTGATTCGGGAGGACATGTCGGAAGTAGAGGAAGGTGTTCTGGCGATGGAAGAGGACCAAAGCAGCCTCCACTACTTCATCGCTCATCTTAAGACGTGCACCGACCTGTCTGCACTCATTGAGACTCAAGATATCACGTTCGGCTACACTCTCAGCAAACTGGAGAAGGTCTTGCTCAAAGACAAAGAAAGAACTTGGCGTGTCAAACGTCCTCCCCAGAGCTGGTTTTCCGACCTCGGTACGAATCAACTCCAGCGCTTTTTTGTCCTCATCATCCGGATTCTTCAAGTTCAGAACAAAGGCAATTTTGTCAGGTGCTTCAAAGAGAATGAGCTCCTCTTCAAAGGCAGGGAGTAAGAGGCCGTGTAACTCTTTGTTGAGGGAGTCAACTCGAACCCCAAGGTCGCTCTCCACACAGTCACGGTGTGTGGCCACAATTAGGAGGTGGAAGGACTCGTTGAGGTTTTTCCTGGCAGTGCAACGTGGACACAAGCTTCAGGATAATGTCCCTGCCAGTGTAGTGAGATGGAACCTCGCGTCTGTAAGGTATAGCCATCTGGTGACAATCAACTGGTGGGTGTTCATTGAGACCATACTTGCAGATTGACTAGCACCAGTGCTAGGTTGGCATTGTGGATGAGAGATGGCATCACTTCCATCAGCTCAGGCTGACCACCAGTGTCTATCATGTGGACCAGCTCCAGCAACAGGAGCTCTTCTGTGGGATGGGATGGAGCCGTCGATTTGACTAGTGGGATCATTTTCTGGCAGGATGGACTCTTCTCTACTTGAGGGAGAGATGCAGTAGGGACAGAAAGAGTAGGATTTGTGCTGGATGAAGCAGGTGCAGCGATGGTTGAAGATGAGTCTAACGTTTCTTCGACTGGCTCGATGTCTCGCATAAGACAAGCAGCAAGGAAATGGATATCCGTTTCCTTCATTCCGGCTTGCATGAGGAAGGCAAGGACTTCGCGAATGTCCCTGTAAGAGAGACGCCGCCATACTCCGGCTGAGATACGCAAGATGTGGTGGAGTAAGCCTCGAAATGACTGCTCAGCGACACCGGTGCTGGTATAGAGGCCAGGAGGTGCCAGGCCAAAGAGATCGTGCAGGAGAGTGGTCTTCCCTGAGCCCATCAGACCTGTGATGAGTCCCACCACATTCCTCTGCTGAAGACTACCCGACTCCATTGCCTCATCAATGATCTCCTGGGCCCTTTCATCTGTAGTTGGCTTCGAATTTACTGCAAGGAAGGCATCTTCCAGCAGTTCACTGGCCCCAGGTCTCTTTGCCGGGTCATAGACTAGACATCTGTGACATGAATCAGGACAGTTTGTATTATTCTTATTCTTATAGAGGCGTTGATGCCTTGTGCGCAGTGCACGTGGCTGCACGCACCACACTCATTGGGTGTGGCTCGAACTTAACGTGCTAGCTAAAGCCAGACTTAGCTTCGTTCGTAGCTTTGCACTCATATACTAGCTATAGATGTAGATCATGTAAGTTGCAAAGCGATCCACCGTGAGCAGGTTCGCCTTAAGAGTTTTAAGCGCGCTCGCAAAAGCCTTTGAGGTACAAACCCAATCAAATTAAGGAAGATTCAGTACTTGGGAATTTTACCGTGGAGCAGATGTCCCGGTAACAGACACACGTACAACCAACTGACTACCATATACCTGTGTTGCACGTGCACACCAAGGCATAAATAATATTGTACATAGCCTAGAAGCCATAGAAATGAAAAGCACTGAAGTGCAAACCCTCGGTGAACTGCGCGCGATACCCCTAATTGATGGGCTGGGCTATAGTATGCGTTTACTCGTGGTCTCCCGCTAGAGTAGCTCGCGGAGAGTCTGACACGGGCTAGCTACAGTAATAGATAGCATGCGGGAGTCAATACACGCCATTTGTTGTGACTTCATGTGGCAAGTGGACCCAGACGAGGTAAGCCTGTGCTAATTTGCATATTGGCTTGTTCACTTGGTTTTCACACCATAACTTCTGAATGCGGCACTTTTACGAAAATCGCCATTTTAAAAATGAAGCCAGTGTAGCGCTGAACCCGTTGGTGTCACTATTTTACCTGTTTTGTTGCGCGTGGTGGCAGAAAACGTGGTAGCAGACGGACAGATAGACGGACAGACCAAGTACTGTATAACGCTCGGCCTGAGCGGAGCTTTGTGAAAAACAGCGCGCTCGGCAACCTTGGGAGCTACAGACACTAATTTTGTCGCTGGTTGGGTTTTTGCTTACTTGGGGAGTTGTTTTTCCAGGCTCTAGCCAATTCTTGCTAGCGCAAATGCTGACTTAGCTGTTGCGAGTATGCCACGCAAAATCATACTGCGACACGGGATCTGTTGGAGTATAGTTTTGAGCAGCCAGCAGGACTGGCTTTGTGAGACTACTGTCCGAGTTTTATAGAATAGGTTAACCCATGGGTTTGGAAGGCATACGGCTCTACATCCTTGGTGCTTTCTGTACCGCCCTCGTGCGGTACTGATAAGCACCTCGGGTATATTCCCCATACACCTTCCAAACCCATGGGTTAACCTGTATACATAATAAATGCTCAGGTGGCAGCCATAGCACTAGGGCCATCGACCACGCAGCCAGAGCACCATTAACAAACAAACACACACCAATTGAACATACACACACACCAAGGCATAGAAAATATATCTCTTACTTAGGAAGTTTGGCTTGGCTATAATTATGGGGGTGTACATTAGACTCAAAAATGATTTCAGTAGTGGCCATGAGTGACACTAGCCTACTAGCCTTCTAGCCTTAACTATGGAAAACTAGGATAAAGATTGATTTGGGAAAATCAGCAAGTTTAGGGCCTGTGCCTCACATCATGACCATCAACAAGGAATGATTATTATACTCTAATTTGATGCGCCCCTTATCTATTGATACAATGTGCACAAGAAATTCATGCACTTGGGACGTGCAACTGTAACAGTACGTGTGCGAAAATTGGTATGGGGAACTGGGGACAGAAAGAACACATTGTATAGAGTAAGGTGTATATTTTCGTGATGGCTTGTACATGAATGATCTACCCTAACTAACCTGAAAATGAAGGAAGTAATTTCTGTGGAAACACTGTCTGGTAATGGTGGAATGGGATTCCCCTGAACAATATTGTTCAGGAGATCAAAGGTTGACTTGAAACCTGAGTTAGCCCTAGAGGACACAGCCAGTCAATGTCAGAGCTTACAATAATTGGCAGACAGGAATCCACATTGCACTCACCATGGAGGGTAGGAGGTAGCCATTTCATGAACAGTACAGCCCAGACTCCAAATATCTAACTTCTTGTAATCGATGGGACCAGGACCTACTTGCGTAGGGTCAACCGTCTCTGGAGCACTCAAGTGCACATCAGGTGGAAAAATAGCCTGGTGTAGTATAAACTGTGAATTACTAATAATTTGGAGCAATACTAGCTTACAGGGCTGGATACTTCTATCTTTAGAGACAAAAGGTCAATCAGTTTTGCCACATCTTTTGGCGTCACCATCACTTTGGCTGCCCTGACATTCCTGAATAATACAATGTTATATCACATGACACGTCAGATGATAGCTATTACATATGGTGAATGTCTCGTCCACCTGTGCATGGTCTCGTACGTATATACCAAGGCACTCCACATAACAATTCACTCAACTAGCACATTAAACATTTTTCGCGAAAACTTATGACAGTGTATGGTGAGCTAGACAAAAACAAGTTTGACTGGATATATAGTCCAGGGAATGAGACTAACCTGTGTGCTATAGTTTTGTTGTGGAGGTATTCAAGACCTTGTACAATTTGTCTGGTGTAGTGGCTGGATTTCTCATCACGCAGTGGTCCAAACCTAAGACAGAGACAAATGTATATACTAATTTAAGATTTCTGTCGCCACTTCAAGCAGATGTGTTATGCTTGTCAAGTAATATAGCTGCATGCATTAAAAATTAAACCTTCCTGTTGCTTAAATTATGTGATTTGTTGTATTCAGTACTCAATGCACATGTGAATAGAGCAGTTAAAAGGGACACTAACTATTGCCGGTAACTGGGGATGGAATCAGAGATGCGCACAAACTACATCTGGTAACAACTATGCCAGACCGAGGGATGATGTATCACTCATGAAAATAATGTTGCACAACCTTGTAGGTCGTGACACTAAACACAACTATTTGCAAGCGAAGCTAGTCTCAGTTGTTCTACATACTATAGGTATCAAAATGTGCATGTGGCATCACATGGTCCAATACCTTCATGTGAATGCACTGGCAGGATATGGATGCTTGCTAGCTTCATTGCCGCGGCCCAATCCGCATGCCAGATTGCGAGTTCGGGTTTTGGCTCGGTGCAGGCCTTGACCAGCAGGACTGGGGAGGGGCCTAGGCTCCAAACCACGAATGTCTGGGCATGGTCAGCAGTGGCAGCCTTGTGGGGATGAACTCATTAACCCTCGGCGCGCATGCACAGCGAGGGTTACAGTACTTTGTTTGTCCGTCTGTCTGTCCGTCTGTCCGTCTGTTACCACGTTTTCTGCCACCACGCGCAACAAACAGGTAAAATAGCGACACCAACGGGTTCAGCGCTACACTGGCTTGATTTTAACATAGCGATTTTCGTAAAAAGTGCAGCGTTCAGAAGTTATGCGTGAAAACCAATGAACAAGCCAATATGCTAATTAGCACTAGCTTACCTCGACCTGATCCGCTTGCTCTGTGTACTCGGGGCAAAGGCAAGAAGTCAAAAGAAGGGCGTGTATCGACTCCCGCATGCTATCTACTACTGTAGCTAGCCCGTGTCAGATTCTCCGCGAGCTACTAGCGGGAGATCACGGGTAAACGCAGACTAATAGGCCCAGCCCCCATCGATTAGAGGTATCGCGCATGCTCAGTTCGCCGAGGGTTTGCACTTGCATTAGTTCAGAACCACAAGTGCTGCGCTCCTGGTAGCCTTTATAAACTCGTGATGCCAGAGAGAGAAGTTGGGGTATGCTCTGCTGATGAGGCCTGTCCAGAGCTCCCCATCTTTTTTCTATTTGCTCATCAAAATTTGTTTCTAGATGTGATCAAGAATTTCTAAGTGCATTCTCAAAGCTTAAGAAATCCAATATGGCCACTTGCCTGTTGATTATGCTGTGAAGAGTTTCTCCCTGGATGAACTCCACGCACATACAGACACTGTGTGTGTCATAGCCAAACCCTAAGTAGCTCATCAAATTGGTGTGTCGTAAACTGAGTAATGTCACAGCATTTTGTTTCAGCTCCGTGTATTTCGGGAGCTGAAACAAGAGCAGGTCATTATAATTATACGAAAAGCCATTATCTGTGCAACTAATATTATGTGAATGTAATTCTCTTAATTTTACACTGAATGCATACTCATTAGTGTATTATTACTGCAACTCACTAGTCGTCTTTCATCAATTATCCGCTTTATACCAATAAACTGGCCTGATTGCAGGGACACTTGCCACACTGTACAAGTCGATCCCTCTCCAACCTTAGTCCACTTCAGAGATTTTGAATCCAAAAAACGTCTTTGCATTGGACTCTCTTCTTTAACAACATATGAGGTCATTATTGCACGAAACGTTGTCTGCATACGTAGATGAGGAATTTTGACTTCGCGATGAACACCCAGTATATCATTGAGCTCGGGAGAAAGAGAATCGAAAAAGAGGCCGTCTTTCTCATACCCGGCTTCATGCTGTGTCGCAGGTGTCTCCACAATAGGCAGTAGTCTCTTTAAGATTGGGCGTCTAGTTTTGGTTTTCTGTGTGCATAAAGATTCCTGTTGGCACACACAATGGAACTTCATTGCCGAGCGCATTAGTGCGAGGCTACTACTCCGGGTTGTATTCTCGCGATATGCGTACGTACGTGTCGGTCACGCTTAAGAATGTCAATTAGTCACGCTTGGGGAATGTCAATTAGTCACGCTTAGGGAATGTCAATTAGTCACGCTTGGGGAATGTCAATTAGTCACGCTTAGCAATGTCAATTAGTCACACTTAGGAATGTCAACTTCCGTCATTCGTAAGAAGTCTAGCTTCCGCCGTGCGCGCACATTCGTAGGAAGTCTGGCTTCGCGCGCAGTCAGTAGAGCGCGCGAACGAGTGACCTCAGCGGACTGTTTACGCACGCATTGGCTGGCAGGCGCGAGGCAAGATATACGCGTGCGCATTCCTAGTAGAGAATGAATTCACTCACTATGGCTGCCGGATGTCCCACAGTTTCTGGTGTTTTAGATCTGCATTTTGATATCATAATCATAATCATGCTAACACTAGCATCTTATTTCCAGCAAAATCTGTAAGCTATGTGTGCACAGCACAAAGGCTACATATTCTGTCAGTAAAGTTATGCTCAACTGTGTCTCGGCTAATATGTAGGCATTCAGAGACAACTAGGTGGACTTGTGGGCTTACTTCTCTGGCAGTAACCATTGAAAGAAGATATGCTTGTGGTTATACAGTATAAGTGACTGAAGCCTTACAATAACAACGGTGGTCCCCAAAAGTTGCCCACATATCCCTAACAAAAGGGACCACAAAACCTAACAGCTACAGACCGCAGAACCACAATGTTTACACGCCTTAGCATTTGCCCTGAAATCTTGCTCCTCTGGCCAGGTCTGTTGCTCCCATGGCAGAGGGCACTGCCGAAAGAGCCTACTCACTCTAAGTTGTCGGGCTCAGCCTCATGTTCCTTCAAGGGTTCCTCTGTCACGCCTTTCTTGGACGACTCCATGCCTCCTCCCTGGCGAACGACAAGAGGAAATGGAGGCGGGGCGCAGACTAATCCAATTTAGCGTAGGTTTTTGAGAAATTTCAAAATCGTCACGGGTCCAATGCGTCCGACCGTGTGTCTTGACTAGCTAGCTGCGGCCACGACTACAGGGACCCTCCGAAGGCGAGGAAGCCTGCCTGATCGAGTGATATCTCCTCTTCCGTCCGCTCCTCGCAGCTTCGTAGGAATCCCAGGATGTGAGCATACACAGCGTCCAATAATTCTTGATTCACTCTCTCCTGTCATTTTCAGGGAAGAGGATGACCCTAGAATCAGTCTTCTGAAGAAGCAGACAACTCAGGTTGTGTAACTAGCAGTATTTTAGGTTTGACTAAGTTCAATCTCTAAGCGTCCTCTGTGTGCTTGCTCTTCAACAGACTATAGTCTAACTGCCCATGTAGCCATTCATTGATACACAATGGTTTACTGTGTAAACATGTGTACCTTTCTATACACTCATACGTAATGTGGTACTATAATACACATTCTTTACCAAAACAACACAATGTTGCGTAGTACATGTAATTTCGTAAGTAAAAAGCATAGCTACATATAAGCCTTGTCAGAGATTTACTGTTACCCCTGTCAATGTTCTTTAGGTGACTGAGACTGCGAGGGAGAATGTGAGGAAAGTCGTTGCCAGGGGAGACAACATAGACGACCTCCAGCAGAGAGCCGGTAAGAGTGTCTCACATACTCTCTCCCTCATCCCATCCCTGTCCTTGCAGAAAGCCTGCAGCAGAGTGCTCACCATTTTGATATAAATGCCACTCGTCTTCGAAGAAAAATGTGTTGGCAAAGTATCTCGGTAGGTTACAACCCTTTGCCACGTGCCATGTTTGTACTGTATACAGATGCTAGAATATCCACTGGAAAAGTTTTTTCAATGATTGTGATGTTTTACTCTAATTGATGCCCACCTGCAGTTATGGATACTTCTACTGATAGTTCTGGTGATCATACTTCTCACACTAATTGGTTAGTGATAAACAACTCTTATTAGTTCATTCTCCTTATTTAATTCTTTATTTTCCAGTCTCAATTGCTGTTGTTGTAGAGAAAAACAAGAAGAAAAATTGACCAAAGACAATCATATTTTGTGTATCATCTCACATGACCATTAAATACTTTATAACCCACAATGTTCACAAATTCATGCATGTGTGTGCACACATGATACAAGCATGATAATTATGTGGCTTGTGTATTTACCTTATGCAAGGGAGTGCAGTACTTGCGTGTTCGCTTGACGTCAATTCTCTGCATGGTGGTTATGAAGTAATGGTCCTAAAGGGAGGGTCCAGAGGCTAGGACAGGAAATGAGGCATTTCCTACAACTAGGCAACAAACAACAGTTGCCACAAAAGACATAGAATTAGGTTATCCTTGTTCCGGGATTTTACCTGAGGTGCTACAAGTGGGGATTACCTTTAGTAGTTACTCCAAACAGACGCGGTCAGGTCTTGCAAGGTTTTGTTTTTGAAGGTTGTACACCATAACTGGTGCTGAATGCATCCCTCCAATGGTTTTCCACCTACATGAGAATGCTAATTAGTAGTGATTCCTCCCACTTGCCTCAACCACCTCACAGCAACAAACAGGATGAGGTCAGCATGACAGGGACTTATTCCTAGCCACCACCCACTCACATGTGGTGGGTATAGCTCTGGTATAAAAGTGTGGAGTCACAGCAGCCGTCCAGCACACTCTGGCAGAGCCATTTCCACAGCCCATTCCAAGGTTGGTGCATAGATACCTTATAGCTCTAAAGCTATACTTGTGGCTACGTATTATTATCATTTTCTCTCAAGGATTTTCCAATGAGAGTATTCAAGTATGAGGGAGGAAAATGTCGTTCATTCTCCACACCAACTCCTACTGCTGTTGGTCACCTTGCTCCAACTTTGCCAGGCCAACGTCTACTATGTGAACCCTACGACCTCTCCGCAGCTCGCTAGAGACTCCGTCCCCTGTCCCACCACCGGAGAACCATGCTTTTCACTCAACTACTACTCGAGCAGACACTACTTTTCATCCAACAGCGTCTTTCAGATTTCTCCCTGGGACACACACAATCGAACAGCCTCTGACTATCTCTTACCTCACCAATGTGACGTTGGAGGCAGCTGTCCCTGGAGGTCCTCAACCAATAGTTGAGGTTGAGTCAATCGATTGTCTCCAGAATTACCTTACCTATGTAGGTGGTCAAGATTTTTTTGCTGTCCCACGATGCTCCTCGATTTCTTTCAAACACTGCAACGACTTAGTTGTGAAAGGTCTCAGATTACAAAGCGCTATTCGTTGGGAATTCAACTTTACAGAGTATTTTCAACTGGTGGCGGGAGACATCAGCTTTGAACACGCAGAGAATGTTTATGTGGAAGACGTGAGTGCAAGGAGGGGGACTTTTCTTTATGTCTGGGCCACACAGTCAATATCACCCGAGTACATTTGGTAATCTGGAGTTACATTGTAACCAATCACAAAATACTACGCATGGTGCCCTATATGGACTTTTTATAGCCAATACCGACTACATCTCACTGAGTAACGTAACTGTCATCAATTCACAATACTACGGCATGTATCTTTTCAACACCAGAGAGGCTGTTCTGGATGGGATATCATCGCTCAATACCTTGATTGGTTCAGCTTTGTTTCTCCACCTGGCTCACGAGACTAAAGTACATAGCCCCATCTTGAGCATTTGCTGGGATGGACTAACAGTAATTCAAGTGGAAACTTCCATCAATGCTGTAATTGAAGGGGTCAGTATGGTAACTGATCCGGGTCGGATAAAAGTGGTAAACAGCATCAATATCAACTTTGTGTCACTAAGTTTGGCAAGTGAGGTAGAAGGACAACCCACAAATTCTGCTGTCTTTATTTACACCTGCACCAATGTGTCGTTTCAAAACAGCTCTTTCAATGATTCGGCTCCACCAAAAGAACTCACCACAGATGTTGTCAGCCTTCCTCCAGTAATCTACGCTCACTTTTCTAAAGGAATTGAATTCCGAGACTCGATGTTTGCACATAACAAAAAGACTGGAATTAAAGCACGTGCATCTGGCATTATCTTCTCTGGAGAGGTCAAATTTCTGGACAACAGTGCTCCTTCAGGTGCAGGGATCATCATTGCGAAACAGAGCAATATCACTCTGAATGAGGACAGCAGTGTTTTGTTTGATGGGAATCGTGCTGCCAGTAGTGGAGGTGCAATATATATAGTGAGTGGGGAAGATGTACCTGAGACACTCAGTGACAGATGGTGTTTCTTGCACGTGAGAGGTACTAGGTCACGCTCGCACATGACTTTCAGTGACAACTGGGCCGGGAAAGCAGGTGACGTGTTATACGGGGGCCACCTATCAATTGGGTATAACGGCATCGAGGAAAACTGCCTCCAGAACTTTTGGAATGCTTCGGATATCTCTCAGCAGAAAAGTCTGTCTGTGGTGTCATCCGAGTCGTCGCGTGTTTGTCTGTGTGACACAGAGACTGGGGTTCCCGACTGCCTCCGGATTCACTCTGAGCCTCAGGCCGTCTATCCTGGTCAAACTCTCAGTCTGTCTACTGTGATAGTCGGACAAGCATTCGGCACTGTCACCGGCTCAGTTTTTGCTCACTTTATCCAGGATTCGCCCAACGACATCGCCCCTCAATTACTCAGTAGTCAGTTCACTCAAGTTGTTAGCAAGGATAGCTGCAACCTGTTGAACTACACAATTTTCAAAACGGCTGAAAACGGGTCAACCGATGCAATCCTCACCCTAACTCCCCAGTTCAGAGAGACATCTCGGTACCTGAGCAACCATTCTGATACTGTTAGACATGCTCTACTGAAGTACGAGGATTGGTCAAAAATGGACCCTTTATACACACCATTTCCCAAGAATATCCTCGAATTTCCTGTGTATGCGAACATCACTCTCCTACCGTGTCCTCTTGGTTTTTACCTGAGGGGAAGTCCGGCAGCAAAGTGCGAGTGTGACCAGATTCTACTGGCTTTGAGCGACATAGACTGTGACATCACGGATCAGACTATTGCAAGAAGTGGGTCGGCATGGATTGGAGTCGATGATAGGGGCAACTCAACCGAGGGCCTCATGACTTCAATGTACTGTCCATTGAACTACTGCAAAAGTGAGAGGATCCGTTTGAAAGAGGGAGAGTACGATACCCAGTGTAACTATAGACACTCAGGTATTCTCTGTGGAGGGTGCAGGAAAAATCTGAGCTTGGCCCTTGGGAGCTCACAGTGTTTGTCTTGTTCAAACAGGTACCTTGTACTCATCCTTCCATTTCTACTGGCTGGAGTTGCTCTCGTGGCATTCATCAAGCTCATCAATCTCACAATAGCTCACGGAAAACTCAACGGTGTTCTTTTCTACGTCAACATAGTCAAAGCCAATGAGTTCATTTTCCTACCAGAAGCAGGGACTAACCCACTAACGCTCTTTATTGCTTGGAGCAACCTAGACCTCGGAATAGAGACCTGTTTCTGGGACGGACTCAATGCATACTCCAAAGCATGGCTACAGTTTGTCTTTCCCTTCTACATATGGGCCATAGCTGGTGGTATCGTGATCCTCTCCAAATACAGCAGCAGAGTGGCTGGACTCATGGGGAGCAACTCTGTGTCGGTTCTGGCCACCCTTTTCCTTCTCTCCTACAGCAAACTGCTCCGAATTATTATAGTCGGGCTCTCTTACACAGTTCTGGAGACTTCCAATGGACAAAGGATTGTGTGGTCTTCCGACGGAAACTTGGACTATCTCGGGCCCCAGCATGCACCCATGTTTGCTGCATGTCTTGCTGCTCTCGTCTTTCTATGGTTACCTTACACGCTCCTACTTTTCTGCGGACAGTGGCTCTACAAGCTCAAGTGTAGATCAGTGATCAAACTTCTAGGGAGGATAACGCCCTTTCTCGATGCTCACTATGCTCCACTCGAAGGACGACACCGCTACTGGTTTGGAGCACAGCTACTGATCCGAGCTGCAATTCTCATTGCGTCTTATACAATACCGGCTGACAGTTCCAGTGTAGTTGTGTTCTCAGTGTCGGTAGCTGCAGTGGTCCTGACAGCCGTCTCCTCAATCGGGTTCTACCGCAACAAACTAGTCTCTCTGTTCGAAATTACGTTCTTTGCAAATCTGTCTCTTCTTGGTATCTCAACATTCTTCACGGCAAGTAGCGGAAAGACTGCAACTGCGGCCTATGTCCTCATCATGGTTGCCTTCCTAGAGTTTTTGGGTCTGGTGAGCTACAAGATCTCAGATAGGTTTAAGTTGGCAAGTTTGATGTTGGCCTGTTGCAACAGTAGAGGAAAATATTTTCACACAATGGTAGAGGATGACTGGGAAATGTTTGAGAGAGAGGGACAGCAGAGAGAGGAGGAGCTAAACCGAGACAGTACGAGTCGGATTGAGCAGAACAGCAGCACTAAAGATGTAAGAGAAAGCTCTTGTCGAACATACTGATATTTGCTTCGCCATGGACAGGCACAGTGACATTACTTTATACAGCCTGTGTATTAGTTGATGTAATTGTGAACTTGTTCAATTAGCTAGTTTTGCCACTATTGATATACGGCTGGAGTTTTACTTTATAGCTACTGCTTGTACAAATGATAATCGCACAACAACACAACTTAATTTTAAATCTCTCAGAACCATATACAATCAGCTAATAAACATGTGTTTTCGCTAGCAAAATTGATTTGTCTAGTGTATGATATACTGAACTATAGACGTGAAAGTTTTGAGATACGAGAATTTTTCAATCGCATGAAAAATTTAAATGTGTAGGCAATAAGGTAGAATAGAGTGTAATGTTTTTTTGCTGCGGGATACTCGGAGGGGCGAGGCCGCGAGGGATTTCCATCTTCCTGGAGGTGGAGTCATTCTATTTCCGGCTCCACCTCTGCGCCTTTCCTTTTAGCCTCGTACCCAGCCGCTCCACCCACAAGGGAAAGGAGCGTCTTTGGAAATTTTGACGCTAAACCGGGTCCTGAAGCCGTCATCCGTAGTTGGGCGAGAGGAGCGAGCCCTCCTAGTCGTGTCTTCGGCTCGAATTTTCTGACGCACCGTCGTCGTCTTAGTGCGCATGCGTTTATTACGCGCTCCTTATCGACATAATAACTGTGCGGAATTTTTTCTCCATCCTCTTATACAGTCCGTCCAGTTGGGTTCGAAGGAGATAGATTCATCCGCGGAGGATAGTGTTCTTCGTCGAAGAAAAACAGACAGAGAATCGTGTCTTCGGCTCGAATTTTCTATCTATGTATGCCCGTTCTGGTGGGGTCCGCGTACACGACAACACCCCCGTCTCCCACCACCTAGGCTATGTCTGGCAGTAACAACACCTCAGAAGCGCCCCCGACACCGAGAATTCAGCAGTACAGACTTTACTTTCTCGTCTGTTGTGTTGTGGTAGTCAGCACCGGGTTTTTATACTACCAGCAATTTGCGTCTGCAGGCCAAAAGGCTTGCAAGACCGCCTCAATATTTCCGCGGCCAACTGCGAAGCCCGCTGAGCTACCTCCTGATGGGCCTACCTACCAAAGCATTTCCTCCTATAAAATCATCTCCTTACCCTCGGACAAGGTCAACATACGTGCTGTATACCTGGACCGTCGGCCTAGGAATGGCTTCAACAATGCCTCCGTGTTTTTGGTTGAGATTCACACTGAGCTGGCAAAGAAAGGAGGTGGAATAGTAGCCTGTGGTACCAGTGAAGCAGTAAGTAAGACTCTTCAGATCCGTGTGGCCGGTAACATGAAATGGGTCCACCAAGTGCATACTGAGATAAACCATGACGTGGCCATGATTGACTGCTTTGGACTGCCAGCCAACACTTCCTCTGGTGCACGTGTCTTCCTATGGTACCGCATCAAGGATGGTGGAGACTTGTATCGTGTGGAGTCAGAACAAACATACTTTATCCCCCTAGAAAAGGACACAGGAGACAGGGACAAGCTAAAGACTGTGGTATGCATGGCTGTCCTCTATAGCAACCCACCCTTCATAAGAGAATTCCTCCGCTACTACAAATACCTTGGTGTAGACCACATCTACATATTGGCAGACGACAGCTTTATACGGAGTGGCGTCCTTGAAACTGACAAGTTCGTCGAGGAGGCACTTAGGGATGAATTCATCTCATATTCAGTGTGGCACAAATGGCTAAGTCCACGCGAAGTGTATCATCACTCCCAGATGCTCGCCTATGAGAACTGCATCTACAGGTTCCAGGGGACGTATGACTATGCCTTCTTTGTGGATTCGGATGATCATTTCATTCCTCTAGTCCCCGATCAAAAGGAACTTGATTACTACATTAAGCGCTACTGTGCAGGTGGGGCCTGTACTTTCCGGTGGACCCAATACTTTCCTGACTGTGGCCAGGACTGGAGCAAACTGGGTCCTCATGGAAATGTCACCAACACTCTTGTCTCTCACACACACAATAACCGTGAGGAAGGAAAATCTCTCTACAGAATTTCAGCAGCACTAGATGCTGGGATACACGACCCTATAAAGATGACAAAGGGACACAAGCATAAGGTTGTGTCCTCAAACATTGCTTATGTCGCTCATATAAGAAGAAATATGCATCCTCCAAAAGGTCACTGTTAGCTAGATTCATGGCCTCTCTGCTTACTTAGCAAGCCACATTTTTAAATTCTATAATTATTATGTCACACAGCATCCCGCTGCATTTTAGCCCGGAGTTTTTCTGAGTCAGCCAGCGGCAGTGGGTGTACGTATATTTGCACTCCAAATGAGTTCAACCTTGCACATAATGAACTAATCATAGTGGTCACAAATTAAAGCATTTGGGCGGAAGACCTATCTTATGTCGTTGCTAGCAAACCTCTCGCCTGGAAGAGGCATTATTATCATCTTAGACCCGAGGTAGCTAGAATACCATTACTCAGTTTCTTAGTTGTTGGAGAATTTGGGCACAGTGAGATGAGAGGACAATAAGTATCCTTAAAATCTCTCAGAACCATAGCTATATGATCAGCTAATAAACATGTGTTTTCACTAGCAAAATTGAATCCCGCAGCAAAAAAACATTGCACTTTATTGTACCTCTCCCATTTTATTGCCTAGCTAGCTACACATTTTGTGAGAATAATTTTTCATGCGAGTGAAAAATTCTTGTATCTCAAAACTTTCACATCTATAGTTCAGTATGTCATACACTAGACAAATCATACTCGGAGGGGTGAGGCCGCGAGGGGATTTCCATCTTCCTGGAGGTGGAGTCATTCTATTTCCGGCTCCACCTCTTCTCCTTTCCTTTTAGCCCCGTACCCAGCCGCTGGAAAGGAGCGTCTTTGGATATTTTAACGCGAAACCAGTGTAGCGGTACATTTCATCCCCCGAATATATATCCGCCCGGATAGGATATTGATATTCTATCCCCCCACCCCCGATAGGATATTCTATCCGCACCCACAATATTTTATACACCGTGCTGTGCGTTATGATTGTTGAAACGCAGCCAGTGTGTTGCTTTGAAGTTCTGTGCTCTATTGAGGGGGATTTCAACGTTACAGAATGCGATGACAGGGTTGTTTGGAGTTACAGTATTATTGAAGACGGAGTTCGTTGAAGGGCTGGACGCGGCCGCGATCCGCGCAACCGCTGAGTGTCTCGACGAGAAATAGTGCAGTCGTGCAGACTCAACTCGGTATACGAGATAACAGTGCAGAAACAGCGGGCCGAGCAGCGACAGCGCCAACGATTTTCCTGCGCGTTTATCGTATGCGCAGTATTGGAGGGATAAAATATTCGGACCCCGGATATTCCACACTAACAGTATACTATCCTCACGGATAGAACCTATCCCGGATCCCCCGGATAAAATATACGGGGGGTGAAATATACTGTGACACCGGGTCCTGAAGACGTCATCCGAACTGCGCGGTAATGGCAACGTCGCGTTCGCGCGGCGTTGATTGGTCGTTCTGAAATCTGATTTGGAGAGATACCTGGACCTTGACGTCAGTAACCACCAGCCAGCCCCGGAGGTGCGACACGATGACGTCACGAGCAAATGACGCAATCCCTGCGCATGTCGCCTAAATTCTGCATGCAGCAGAAGGCCCGGCCCCACGCACAGCTAGAGGAGGTTGTGCACGCGTCATAGCTTGCATCATGTGTGCGCCTTAGTCACTTGATTACATTATAACCGCATGCGCGGACAGCTTAGGAATGTCGATTGTGCGTAACCTCCTCTGCAGAATCGAGGAGGCCCAGAGGAGGTTGCGCACCACATTTCCGCGCATGCTGTTATAATGTAATCAAGTATCGTAGCTGCGAAAGGAAGTGGCTCTAGCTGGTGTTCAGGCGGGCCAAGACCTTGCTATCTCTCTATTGTTTGTGTGTCCAAGTGTGTACCACGGAGAACACTCGTAGCCTTGCAAACGCCAGTGTGCCGTTCTGCAGAAAGTGCGACTCTCCGCGGGTTGACTGGGTTGCGTGGGCGGACATAGGCGCACGTGACGCAAGCGATGACGCAATCACACACAGTACAAAACAAACCGCGAGAGCCTCCGCGGCCGGCCTAGCCTCTCTCTGCATGCAGGAGGAGGCTAGAGTCGAGCGAGCTAGCTCGCCCCTTTCCAGGTGATGAGTGGGTGGGGGGTGGGGTGGGGTCTAGACATACACCCCGGAAGCTAGGCCGGGGAGGAAGCACTAGTTCTGGGTGGAGTCCGCGTACACGTCCTAGGAGATGTCTGGCAGTAGCAACACCTCAGAAGCGGCCCCGGCACCGACGATTCAGCAGTACAGACTTTACTTTCTCGTCTGTTGTGTTGTGGTAGTCAGCGCCGGGTTTTTCTACTACCAGCAATTTGCGTCTGCAGGCCAAAAGGCTTGCAAGACCGCTCCGTCGCTCGCTGAGCTACCTCCTGATGGGCCTACACCCCAAAACGTTACCTCCTATAAAATCATCTCCTTACCCTCGGACAAGGTCAACATACGTGCTGTATACCTGGACCGTCGGCCTAGGAATGGCTTCAACTATGCCTCCGTGTTTTTGGTTGAGATTCACAGGGAGCTGGCAAAGAAAGGAGGTGGAATAGTAGCCTGTGGTACCAGTGAAGCAGTAAGTAAGGCTCTTGAGATCCGTGTGGCCGGTAACATGAAATGGGTCCACCAAACGCATACTGAGATAAACCATGACGTGGCCATGATTGACTGCTTTGGACTGCCAGCCAACACTTCCTCTGGTGCACGTGTCTTCCTATGGTACCGCATCAAGGATGGTGGAGACTTGTATCGTGTGGAGTCAGAACAAACATACTTTATCCCGCTAGAAAAGGACGCAAGAGACCAGAACAAGCTAAAGACTGTGGTGTGCATGGCTGTCCTCTATAGCAACCCACCCTACATGAGACAGTTCCTCCGCTACTACAAACACCTTGGTGTAGACCACATCTACATATTGGCAGAGGACAGCTTTATACGGAGTGGCGTCCTTGAAACTGACAAGTTCACCGAGGAGGCACTTAGGGATGGATTCATCTCATATTCAGTGTGGCACAACTGGCTAAGTTCACGTGAAGTGTATTATCACTCCCAGATGCTCGCCTATGAGAACTGCATCTACAGGTTCCAGGGGACGTATGACTATGCCTTCTTTGTGGATTCGGATGATCATTTCATTCCTCTAGTCCCCAAACAAAAGGAACTTGATTACTACATTAAGCGCTACTGTACAGGTGGGGCCTGTACTTTCCGGTGGACCCAATACTTTCCTGACTGTGGCCAGGACTGGAGCAAACTGGGTCCTCATGGAAATGTCACCAACACTCTTGTCTCTCACACACACAATAACCGTGAGGAAGGAAAAATCTCTCTACAGAATTTCAGCAGCACTAGATGCTGGGATACACGACCCTATAAAGATGACAAAGGGACACACACGTAAGCGTGTGTCTTCAACCCTATAAAGATGACAAAGGGACACGCACGTAAGCGTGTGTCTTCAAAAATTGCTTATGTCGCTCATATAAGAAGAAATATACATCCTCCAAAAGGTCTTAATTGCACTGACAGTACGTATGTAGCATTGGTATAAACACTGTTAGCTAGATTCGTGGCCTCTCTGCTTACTTAGCAAGCCACATTTTGAAATTCTATATGTCACACAGCATCCCGCTGCATTTTAGCCCGGAGTTTTTCAGAGTCAGCCAGCGGCAGTGGGTGTACGTACATTTGCACTCCAAATGAGTTCAACCTTGCACATGTGCAAATTGCCATAGTGGTCACAAATTAAAGCATTTGGGCGGAAGACCTATCTTATGCCGTTGCTAGCAAACCTCTCGCATGGAGTATATAGAGGCATAAATATCATCTTTGACCCGAGGTAGCTAGAATACGATTACTAGTTGTTGGGAGAATTTGGGCACAGTGAGCATGAAATCTGTTTATCGTGTAACTGCGCATGCGCGGCTTCGTTCACGCGCGCTTCATCCGATCGATCTAGCCAGCGAGAGAACTCCCCTCCGTTCGACGGCATTCGCTGCAGACTTCGGTGACTGACCGAGGGTGTACCTCTTCCCAATCTTCATGGTTCGAAGGTGCAACTTGGAAATAAGCTAGGATTGATCGTGTACACACTGCTGCATGCCAGCTGCCTGGTAGACCATCGGACAGACGAGCTGAAAGCGTAACGTAATATACCGCCTGCTCACCGTTCTGCCAATGTACAGTACACGTGTAACGGCGACAAGTAGATCTGCTGGCCCTGACGGCACGTTATGCAGCCCGAATCGCGGGCATATCCCAAGTTGGGTCGCTCCCGCTCGCCAGCAATGTTCAACATTTCCACTAGTTTACCATCCATGCCTCCTACTTGATAATATGTCCACGTTTCACGCTCAGAGCTGTCGCGGTTACCGAGAAAAACGGTGGACAGACGGACGGACACACGTACGTACACGCACACACACACACACGCACACACTCGCTGCGCATGCGCGCAGGCGAGGGTAAAAAATGTGTAGGAAATAAAGTGGGAGAGATATAATTTTCTTGCTGCGGGTGGTTAAGCATACTTCGGAGGGGCGTGGCCGCGAGGGGATTCCTGGAGGTAGGTAGGTAGGTGTGGGTCGTTCTATTTCCGGCTCCATGGCCTCGCTCACAAGTGGGTGGGGTCTGGGCACGAAATACAGGACGGAGAAGCTGTGGGGTCTGCGTATACTAAACGAGACTGTGACAACCCCCACCCAGCGGTCTACAGTCTCCCACCACCTAGGCGATGTCTGGCAGTAACAACACCTCAGAAGCGGCCCCGGCACCGAGGATTCAGCAGTACAGACTTTACTTTCTCGTCTGTTGTGTTGTGGTAGTCGGCGCCGGGTTTTTCTACTACCAGCAATTTGCGTCTACAGTCCAAAAGGCTTGCAAGACCGCTCCGTCGCCCGCTGAGCTACCTCCTGATGGGCCTACACCCCAAAACGTTTCCTCCTATAAAATCATCTCCTTACCCTCGGACAAGGTCAACATACGTGCTGTATACCTGGACCCTCGGCCTAGGAATGGCTTCAACAATACCTCCGTGTTTTTGGTTGAGATTCACAGGGAGCTGGCAAAGAAAGGAGGTGGAATAGTAGCCTGTGGTACCAGTGAAGCAGTAAGTAAGGCTCTTGAGATCCGTGTGGCCGGTAACATGAACTGGATCCACCGATGGCATACTGAGATAAACCATGACGTGGCCATGATTGACTGCTTTGGACTGCCAGCCAACACTTCCTCTGGTGCGCGTGTCTTCCTATGGTACCGCATCAAGGATGGTGGAGACTTGTATCGTGTGGAGTCAGAACAAACATACTTTGTCCCCCTAGAAAAGGACGCAGGAGACAGGGACAAGCTAAAGACTGTGGTGTGCATGGCTGTCCTCTATAGCAGCCCACCCTACATAAGACAGTTCCTCCGCTACTACAAACACCTTGGTGTAGACCACATCTACATATTGGCAGAGGACAGCTTTATACGGAGTGGCGTCCTTGAAACTGACAAGTTCGTCGAGGAGGCACTTAGGGATGAATTCATCTCATATTCAGTGTGGCACAAATGGCTAAGTCCACGCGAAGTGTATCATCACTCCCAGATGCTCGCCTATGAGAACTGCATCTACAGGTTCCAGGGGACGTATGACTATGCCTTCTTTGTGGATTCGGATGATCATTTCATTCCTCTAGTCCCCGATCAAAAGAAACTTGATTACTACATTAAGAGCTACTGTACGAATGGGGCCTGTTCCTTCTTGTGGAAAGAATACTTTACTGACTGTGGCCAGGACTGGAGCAGACTGGGTCCTCATGGAAATGTCACCAACACTCTTCTCTCGCACACACACGTTATTCGTGGCAAGGGAGAGGAAAAATCTCTCTACAGAATTTCAGCAGCACTGGATGCTGGGATACACAGCCCAAGGCAACTAATGAAGGGACATGGATCCAAAACTGTGCCTTTAAAAGTTGCTTATGTGGCTCATGTCAGAAGTAATAGGCACCCTCCAAAGAAACTCCATTGCTGAATTTCATGTAATGTAGGGAATTTCACAGCCTCACTGTTTATTGGGCAAGCTGAACGATGAACCCACCTTTTTATCGGCAAGCGAAGTGAACCATCCTAGTCGTCTAACATGTGCTGATGATTATTAGTGCATGAGTAAAAGATCGCCAATCAAACATGTGTTAACTAATTCTGCCGTTTTCTCATACTGCTTATGTTCCATACTGCACGCCTAATATGGGGATGTGAAATCTCTTCGAGAGCGATGAGCTTCACATGTGGTCTAGTTATATACCACTACACCTATCACCTTGCATGTTGCATGAAGTATTAAACCCCTTTCTGAAAGAAAGAGCATAATTATTTTGCGCATGCGCACTTCTAATCCACATGCACAATAAAACTTCTATTTCCATAGGGGACACGATAAGCGAGCTACTATTACACAGATAGCTAGCTACCTCGCACGAGCCTATCAAGTGTTCTGATAGACCTCATCTGGTCCTCCCTCAATGAAGCTGTCCCTCTTGTCCATCTCCTCATAGTCATCTGCATTGTGCTCTGGGCTGTCCTCAACCTCTGTTGCCACAGCCTTGAAAGAAACAAAAGTGGAACAACTGGCAAATGGGACAACACTTTGCCTTAGTTGTATGTTATTGCAATGTGACTCTATGCAGGTAGCCTTATTCCCCCAGGCTTCCCTCCTCCATACTCACAACGTATGCAGAGAAAAGCACTTTTGTATATACAACGTCCAATAAAGGAGACAAAAACCTCTTAAATGAAGGACAACCTTTGAGGTCCCAAATGTTCACAATTTAATTTCTGGTAAATTATCAAAAGCAGGGACAACCTCCCTATAGCTTTAGATCCCGGTGATTTGAAATCGCGCAATTTCATTGGTCCAAACGCGGGATCTATTTTCCGTAGATCCCGCTGCCCCGGACGACGGGATCTATTGGGGAGCGAGCGTGAAGACGCGATAGGTAAGAGACTCGAGCGAGGTTTCAGCTACCAGCGGCGAGCCAGAAACGGTAGGCGAAATCTACAGCATTCCCTCGTCGTCCGCCGCGTTTCGCGGAAAAGGGCTCCGCCCACTCTACGCGCACGTATCTGCCAGAGCGTTCGAGGATTGGCTCGCGGCGAGCATGAGTATGTCGAGTTCCTTCTCGGAGTCTTCCTGGTCTAGACAAGATAGTAACAGCTCGCCTGGCGCGGCCATATCCCTCGGCACTCTACCACGCGTAGTCACCTCGGCTCCGCATCTAACCTATATTTAGACTACGGTAACACGCAATTGACCAATCAGATTGCGAGTTTAGCGGTGACTAATTTTGTTAGTGACCTCTTCCGCGGTAACTATTCGTAGTCCCGGCAACCACGCCTTCAATTCGAAAAGACGCCACGCGCGCGGACGGTGAACCGAGCTTCTGGAGCGGTTCTTCCGACGAAGAAACCAGGAACAGGCTCTTCTAGCAGCAGCGCATGACTACTAGAGAGCTAGGAAGACGCTAGAGAATGCGTACAGGGAAAAACGCGTACAAACGGCCGGGCGGCGCGATCCCGAAGGATAGCAACGCCTACAACGGACACTGCAGCGGGACGGACTTGCGCTGTAGTCTAAGCCGGTTAGACGCGTCGCCTTGGGAAACTACGTGATTTAGTGAGCCTCGGAGCCCTTAGTAGCGCCCTCGCTACGCTCGGGACGCCGACAGCTCAGGGCTCCTCGGCTCACTAAATCGCGTAGTTCCCGCGGCTCAGCGTCTAACCTATACATAGACAAACTTCGTGGTCCAAACATCTCTTGGAGGCTCCACTACGGAGTTACCTAGCTATCTTTGGAACACGGGTAATTCAATCCTTACCCTGAATAGTTGATTGTGGGAATATATAAACATATTGCATACACGTAACACCTATATACTCATGGCATTTTCCATAAGACAGTTCTGTGATAGAGTAAATTACTTGTTCTCTTTGACGATAGTGCTTTGCACCACTTTCGGATATTTTGGGCTTTTTCTCCTTTTTCTGTTTTTCTGCCTTCTTTTGTGGCTTCCCCTTCCCCTCGTCTTTCTCTGACTTGGCAAAGAGCGACTTTGTGAGTGAGAATATGCAGGAGTAAGGGTTGGGGAGACCTACGGGGAGACAATAATGGAGTACGGAAAAGTATGATAGCTACCCGTGAAGCCTTGGTACATATATATTATTATTATGTACTTTAGAATTATGATGACGGATTATAGGAGGTACGACCCTATAATTGAGAATCTCTGATAAAGGACACTCAATGGAAATTTGGACACACTTAAAGGTCCCCAGGCGAATGTTCAACTTTCAAGGTGTAGCCATACTACAATATGGACCACTACGTTAGCTCGCTCCTGCTGACTATAACAAGAGCCTGACCTAAAAAGATATCACCATGATTCATGAGGTTATATTCATCTCCTTGCAGAACAAATTTTCAATTGTAGCTAATAATCTAAGGGTATTTTATGAGTTTATAAAGCAGGTAGTATCCTGCCATTTGGTGAGTATATTATGGTAGGGTTCTAGCTACATAGCTATCACACACCATCCTGCACTCTCTCATTTTTCATGTCGCGGATCATCAAGGTCATGGTGAGGATGACAAACACAGCCACCAGGAGAACCACAATGAAGAGAACCAGAAATGCAATCAGAACAGCCTCAACTATATATAGAACAAAGAGATCATTTCTCTGAAATGAAGAGGGATGTAAAGTTTTGGGAAACAAGGGGGTGCCAATACCTAGGTCATAACCCCATTATTTACTAATTGTGATCACACTAAATCATGTTTGACAATATTATATTATAATATGTGCACAATGCTGGACATAGTATTATTATAATGCGTTTCAAGCTGGATATAATAGTTGGTGACCTGAAAGCAATCATTCTTCTGTCATCTCACCTTGCACTTTTTCATCTTTATCGAAAGTATCGCATAGAATCATGGATGAACAGGTTTTTAAGTTGTACAGAACACACGAGAGGTTTTGCTCACAGGCAAACAACCAGCAGCCCTCGCCACCATCTGTGCTATAATTCGTGACGTTGTGGGCTTCACCGACAGTGCAGTAAATGTCACTGCTGCCATGTGCGTCATATGTAGCGTTAATCCTTGTTGCACTAGCACAGTTGTCCAGCAGACCTGAGGAGGTAGCTAAGTATAATAACTTTTGCTGGGCAAAATGATTGTCCCTGTAACTGCCTAGTGGCTAATTACTTAATCACTGCCAAGATACAATTTAAGTGAACATTAAACCATAGCTTAGATCACAGTAGGGAGTGTGCACAGAAGCCTGTGCATCTTTTATTGGCCATTGTGTGTCACTGTTTGTGTATAATTATAGCTATACTATAGACACCCATAGTGCATGCATAACACTAGGAAATGGTAATTAAGGCTATACATTTTGACCTATTACAAAATACTGGAGTTTCAGCTTCCATGATAATTATGGCTCTATAGGTATGTATTACCTGTCACGCTATGGCTCTGCCTTGGCATAAAGAGAGTGAAGACAGCGACAGTTACAAGGAACTGGACTGCAGATCTTGACATTTTTTCGCTCCCAGGGCAGCTTCTACTACTGTATCGCTGGCACGTATGCTTGAAAATCCCTCAGAAGAGGAGCACCATACACTCGGGCTAATAAGCCCAGCAACAACTGACTTTGTAGTAGCAGACAGCAAATTGCACGGAACAGGCTCGTAGCTATGCTTTTTAAAGTACAATGCCACAGAACAGAACCAGAGACTATGATCAACACGGTCTCGAGGGCGGCTAGGGCCAACACAAACATACCCTCGAAACAATCCACGGAAGTAGCTATTCCTCTGAATGCAGAATGCTACACTAACTGATTACAGTGTAGCAAGGTTTAATGGAACGAGCGTCTAAACATTGACATATGCTGGATGTTTGCCTTGACCTGCAGGCCAGGACAGGGCTGTTCCTCTATCATAACTTTCAGAGGGCTCGTCCATGTCATCCTCGTCAAAATAGAGCCACAGAAGAGCTCTGTAGCAGGCGTTTCTACCAGGGAACCCATCTATTCTCCATTTTGTTGATTGTGATCGTCATTATAAATCTCTCTTCAAAACACGGTGATTACATGATTACTGCACCGAATCAAGCCCACGTATATTATAATGCTTTCACAACACAGCAATGTTATAATTATGCACTACGTGAAATTTTAACACCAGTGGACACATCACTTGCCAAAATCAACTAATGCACACAACATACACTGCACATATCTTGTAAAGTACAATAGATAACTTTTGCTTTCAACCAATGTATAAAAATGTGCCAGTACACACATTAGAGCTAGTATTATACATAATATTCACAGTGTGCCGTTAAGTAGTTATAATAGTGGGGTCTTCTCTCTAATGATGCAGAGGTCAGTTGGAGGGAGTGGGGACAGGAAGTGTGCCCTGGAGACTGTGACAGAGGAGGGAGTTGTAGGACGAGACAAGAGAGGCCACCTCATTGGAGAGATCGTGGTAGCTCCCCTCCGCCTGTCGCATAGCTATGTCTGCTCATTGTGCCAACAGTGTCAGGGATAACCGCACTATATACATGGTTTGCTGCATGCAAAAAGACTAAGTATAGCTACATATTATGTGCAGTACTTAGTAGCTCAAAAAGCTCGTAGTTTATAAATAATTCCATGCTGGTCGTGCGAGTTGGCACTGGTGAGGAAAGATACATTCCTTCATGGCAAAGTTGTTCTGCTCGTGATGCTGCCACTTTCTCTCCAAGTTTCCAAGCTGGAGAAACAGTAAGTCTTACGCTGCCCTCGTACGAAAGTATAAAATATACACCTGAATGTAAGTGTCATTGGATTCCAATGTAGCCTTGGCCCGTTTGTACTCTGTTTCCAGAACTTCCGCTCCTATAGCATTGTAGAAGAAAAGGCAGGTGTGTTTCAAGTGTAGTTTGTGTGCTTAAAACAACCAGCCATGGACACATAAAAGTGTATATATGGGTTATGATACTAGGCGCTAATACTTTATACATGATGCTTTGCTTATTTAAGGAGATACCCATGGCTTCCAAAGGGTTATTAAGAGAACATGGTAGGTATACAACCTTAACTAGGAATGCGCACGCGCATATTTTGCCTCGCGCCTGCCGACTGAGGCCGCTCGTGCACGCGCTCTATACTGACTACGTGCGAAGCCAGGCACGGCGAAGCTAGACTTCCTACGAATGACGGAAGTGACATTCCTAAGCGTGACTAAATGACATTCTTAAGCGTGACGCCACGTACATACGTACGTACGCATATCGCGAGAATACAACCCGGAGTAGTTGCCTCACGCTAACACGCTCGGCAATTATACTCTGTAGTATGGTGTCGATATACATCTACTGTTGCAAACCCAGACACTGGCTGGCAGGGTTAAAAATATGCGACCCCCGACCCTTCCACCCACCCACACACACACACACACCCACACACAGTCTGACTTTCTCTGGCCTCCTCTCTGAGTCTTGCTAGTCTCTCTTTCTCCAACT